AGGGAGGTTATGTTTACGGCGTCACCTTTTTACTTGAGAAAGGGGAATCTAATGTATTTTTTATAAGAATATTTTATTGCATCTTGACCTTAATTGACTTGGCGGAGGTATGCGCTCTGTGAGTGTTTTTAATGTTATTATTACTAATATTTATTATTGTTATTATTAATTGTTTGTTATTGTTGCTATTGTAATTACCACCAACTCCCCCCTTTCTTCTTCTCCATCCCTCCATTTCTCTCCTCTCTCCTCCCTTCTTATCTCCCTCTTTCCTCTCTCACTCCCTCCTCTGGGTCCCTCGCACCCACCGTCTCCATCTAATAAAAACATATCGCCCGCCCGTCATCTCGATTTCCATCTCACCCTCCCTCTTCCCCCTCCACCCTCCCCTCCCTCTTTCCCCCCTCACCTCCCACCCTTTTTCCCCTCTCTTTCACTCAGCCTCCTATAAAATAAACAGTTGTTCTCTCCCCACTGCACAAGGAAAGAGAAGAGAAAAAAACACGTCAGTTTAAGTTTTTCACGGCTACCCAAAATAGGCATAGCGTGGTAGCCCTCTTCCTGTTCTTCTGTCTATTTTTATTTTCACTGTCTACGCTACGTATGGTGACAATGATATGATAATTATGATTGTGACGATGGTAGCGATGAATGTTGATGTTTATATGATGATGAAAATAATAATAATATAATAATAATAATGAATATGATAGTGATGATATGATGATATGATGATGATGAATGATGAATGATGATGATGATGATGATGATGATGATAATAATAATATAAATAATAATAATGAATAATAGTAAATGATAATAAATGACAATAATAGTAATAATGATAATGATAATTATCATAATAACAATGGTACCAATAACAGTAAAACTTATAATAATGATAATAATAAGGATAATAATGATGATAGTATTAAGGATGATAATACTAAGGTACCAATGATAATAATAGTAGTAACTAGAACCACTCAGAAAGCGCATACCTCCGCCAAGGCAATAGGGTCACTGATGCAATATAATATTCACACTTGAAGCCTTACGTTAAAAAACTTCTTTATCAAGTATATGGTGGCGTCCGTGTTTCCCTGTTTCGCAGTGCTAATCAAATCCTTAAAAAAATGAATTCGGATCACCACCAAAAATTGACTGGAAATCTAAGTTTGGCTAAGGGACACCTCGGTTAAAAAATCATAATCATCTGTTGGTATATTTTTTTTTTTTGAGTTATCCTGTGCTGGTTCCAGTCACCACCAAAAATTTAATGCATCTAAGTTGGTCTATAGACACAATAGTAAAAATTTCATAATTATCTGTTTCATAACTTTTTGAGTTATCCTGCTAAGCAAACTAACCAACAAACTAACCAACGCACTAAAAAACATAACTCCTTGGCGAGACTGATAAATGATAATAACAGTGATAATGAAAAACATAATGATGATGATGGCTAATTAATGATACTAATGATGATAATGATAATGAAAATAATGATAATGATAACTATGATAGTAATAATGATAATGATAAATAATAATAATAATGATAATGACATTGATAACAAATATAATGATGATAACGATAGTACATCTATATGATAATGGTTATTATAATAATGATAAACATGTAATGATTAAGATAATAGTACCAGTAATAGTAATAATAAAAAAACATGCAAATTTTCGAGACCTCCATTCTAGTAAGGCGTGCACTGACGGAGCTTTGAATAGCACTGATACCAGTTTTCTTTAGCACAACAGAACTTGCTTNACATAAATACCTTTGGTGCGGAGGTAAGAATGAATAATGATAATAATAGTAAATGATAATGATGGTAAAGGATAATAATAGTAATGATAATGATGGTAATGATAATAATAGTAATGATAATGATGATGATAACAACAGTAACAAAAAGGATAATACTAATAACACGAATAATAGACAAACAAATACAGAGAGACAGACAGACAGACATAAAAATCAATCGAGTAAAACACGAACAATAAACATAAAGATGGAGAGTCAGAAAGACAGGCGGAGACGGAACGAACACCGGAATGAATAAGAAATGGAAAGAAAGGAAGATAAAGAAGGTAGGAGAGGACAAAATAAAGAATACAGAAAGAAAGAGAACAAAGCGACAAAAAGAGAACCAAAGAGAGAAAGATAAAGTAAAGGAAAGAGCAAAAAAGAAAGAAAAAGGAATAAAAAACACGAACCAGCGAGGCCGCGGATGTCAGCAGTCCGGCCTTATAAGTTGTGATTGATGCTTTGTATCTCATCGGAACTTATTACGCCTTCGTGTCGCTGTCTCCTTCGTCTTTCCCCGAGATGATGGTAGGTCCCTCGTCTGTTAGTGATTGTTTGTTTGTTGGTATGCTTGTTTGTGCTCGTTGGTATGTTTGGTTTGGTTTGTAGTGTTTTGCTGGTATGCTTGTTTGACTTTGTGTGTTTGTATCTTTGTTGGTATGATTGGTGTGTTTGTCTTTGTTGGTATTCTTGTTTGGGTTGGTGTGTTTGTATTTTTGTTGGTATGCTTGTTTGTGCTTGCTGGTATGATTGGTTAGGTTGGTATGTTTGTGACTTTGTTGGTATGCTTGGCTTGTGGTTTGTATGTTTGTGCTTGCTGGTATGATTGGTTGGGTTAGTGTGTTTTGCATCTTTGTTGGTATGCTTGTTTGTGATCGTTGGTATGTTTGGCTGGCTTGGTGTGTTTGCTGGTATGCTTGTTTGTCTTGGTATCTTTGTGACTTGGTTGGAATGCTTGACTTGGTATGTTTGTGACTTTGTTGGTATGCTTGACTGGCTTTGTGTGATTGTATCTTTGTTGGTATACTTGGTTTGCTTTTGTTTGTAGGCTTGTGTCCGTTGCCATACCTGTTTTTGGTTGATGTATTTGTTAGTGTATGCGTCTTTGTTGGTATGCCTGTTTGTGTGTTTGTTGGTGAGTTTATGTTCTCTGTTTAGGTGTTTGTTAGTATGCCTGATGATGAGTTTTTGATTTGGTGTTGGTGTATGCCGTTGTGTTTGTATGTGTGTGTGTGTTTGTTTGACGTGCCCGAATGTTTCTTTATCAATGTGCGTTTTGTGAAGGTATTTTATTTGAGTTTTTTGTTTTCTATTTATTTATTTTGTATTCATTCTTTATTCCTTTATATTATGTTTTATTTATTCATTTTTATCTTATTTTATTTATCTATTTTTTCAGAATTGCGTCATTAGGTTAATTGTTATTTGCTACGCCTATTATCGTCTAATTTTACATTTTGTTCGTTTATTTTTTATTTTATTAGCTGTTAAAGTATTCTTCAGAAAAACACAAATCCATAAACAAACATACCACATACAAAAAATAAATAAATATAAAGACATAAACTCTCTCCTTAAAAAAAAAAAAAAAAAAAAAAAAAAAAAAAAAGCATATGAGTTATTAAGGCTCACCAAAAACCTCTTAGTTGATTAAAATCACTATTGCAACTTTCGGTACAAAACGCACACTCCATCAGGGGGGGGGGGGGGGGGGGAGGGCAGGGCAAGGGGGGGAGGAGGGGTTGATGAATAACTCGATATAGTCATGGGGAAAATTTTTCGAGGAGTGGGGGCAGTGGGGGGGATGGAGGGCTAGGGGGCCGGGGTGCTTGTCATTGTTTTTCTTTCTTGTTTATCTTCCTTTCTCTTCTATTTAATTATCGGTCTATGTAATTATCTACCATCTTTTTCTACCTATTTGTCATTTCCACAGCTTCTCTCTCTTTTTTTTTTATCCATCTGTCTCTATTTCGCGTTTCTTTCTCTCTCTCTCTCTCTCTCTCTCTCTCTCTCTCTCTCTCTCTCTCTCTCTCTCTCTCTCTCTTCTCTCTCTTTCTCTCTCTACCTCTTTCTAGCCCCCCCTCCCCCTCCACTCACCACTCCCACTATCTGTATTCTCTCCCTCTCTTTCTCTCTCTCCCTCCCTCTATTTCCCTCTCCCTCCCTCCCTCCCTCTATCTCTTTCTCTCTCGCCCTCCTCCCTCCCTCCCCCTTTCCCCCTTCCCCTTCCTGCCCCCCCATCTCTCTCGTCCTTCTCTCTCATCTCTCATCTCTCTCTCTCTCTCTCTCTCTCTCTCTTCTCTCATCTCCTCGTTCTCTCTCTCTCTCCTTCTTGTCTTACCCTCCCTCTCTTCTCTCTCTCTCACCTCTCCTACCCTCACCCATCCCTCTCTCTCGCACTCCCCTCAATCCCTGTATTCTCTCCTCTCTTTTCTCTCTCTCCTCCCTCTATCTTTCCTCTCTCCTTCCTCCTTCTCTCTTTTCTCCTCCCTTCCCCCGTCCCCTCGTTCTCTCTCTCTCTCGTCTCTCTCTCTCCTCTCCTCTTCTCTCTCCCTCTCTCTTTCCTCATTCTTCCTCGTCTCGCTCTTGTCCCTTCTCTCTCTCTCTCTCTCTCTCTCTCTCTGCCTCCACTCGCCTGATTAAATGCACTCCACAACTCAACATACAAATCTACATACATACGACGTCTATTACTTCTCATTTATTCAAACATATAGAACGGCCAAGTTCCTCCCTCATTTCCCTGCTTCTCTCATTCTCTCGCTTACTCCCCCATTCTCTTGTTCCCCTCTTTCGTTCCCTTGCTTCCTTCCATCGTTCCTTTTATTTCTCTCATTCGTCTCATTTCTTGGTTTATTTTTCCTCATTTTCTTCATTCATTTTGCTTCCCTGCCTCATTCTTTCGCTTTCTTCCATTCTCTCGCTTCTCTTCTTCCTTTCCTCTCATACTCCTTTCCTCTCTTCCTTCTTTCCTTTCCCTCATTCCTCATCCTCCTCTCTCTCCCCTCATTCATCACCCTAGTTAAAACAAAAGCAGAAACAATTACAAAAAAATAATGATAAAATAAAATAATAATAATAATAACATGCGTATATAAAACATCTAACATGTTCATAATATCCAAATCTACTTATCACGGACACATAAACAATACTCGCACACTCACACCCACCTGTGACGATATTTATGTAGATGGTTTGTGGGCGGAGCTAAGGCCGGGCGAGGGGCGTGTCTAAATGCCCAGGGACTCGAGAGTGGACCTGTGTTAATTGCATTCTGAAGAGTGGAAACCTGGTAATCACACGGCCTATGTATTCATGAGGGAGGGAAGGAGGGAAGGAAGGGTGGAGAGGAGGGAATTAGAGAGGAAGGGATGGGTTGAGGGGGGAAGGAGGAAGGAAGGGTGGGAAAGAGGAAATGAGGGAGAAAGGGTGGATTGAGAGGGAAGGAGGAAGGAAGGGTGGAGAGGAGGAAATGAGGGAGAAAAGGGTGGGTTGAGGGGGAAGGAAGAGGAAAGAGGGTGGAAAGAAAGATAAGGAGGAGGGGGGATGAGTGGGTGGGTGGATGGGGAAGGAAGGAGGAAAGGTAATCTTGGTGGATAGTTTAGGGGAGAAGGAGGGAGACTAGGAGGATACGAGGAGGGAAGTAGAAGGTAGAGATGATTAGGAATAAGATGAACAGATAGAAAGAGACGGAGAGACAGTGTCAGACAGACTTGAATTGACTGATAACTAGAGAGAGAGAGACAGACAGCGAAACAGACACAGAGACAGATACACAGAACAGACAGCAGAAGAGAGAGAGAGAGACCGGACAGACAGAGACATAAGACAGACAAACAGAGAGAGAGACAGAGAAGACACAAAGACATACAGAAAACAGAGAGAGAGAGAGACAGACAGAAAAACAGAGACAGACAGACAGAAAGACAGAAACACAAACAAACACAAACAAAACCGGAAAAAAAAGCCGAGAAAGACTGCTCTCCGGACGCGCAAGCAAGCAAGCAAACGCAATTCGCGCGCCGATGATATTAACACCCGCGCGAAATTTGCATAATGTGGTTCGCTTTTTACGGGGGTCGGATCCGAGGAGGGACACGCGAGACATTAATCTGGGCGGTTGTGGGCGTCCGGGCGTGGGCGAGAGGTTCGTACTTTGTGGGCGTGTTTGTGGGGTGGGTGGGTTCATTTGTGGGGGTTGCGTGTGTTTGTGTTTGTTGTGTGTGTGTCTGTGTGTGTGTGTATGTGTGTGCATGAGTGTGGTGTGGGTTGTGTGTCCTGCGTGTTTGTGTGTGGTGTATGGTTTTCCCTCTTGTATTTGTGTGTATTCTGTTCTCCTCGCGTCCCTCCCCCTCTCTCTCCTCTCTCTCTCTCTCTCTCTCTCTCTACTGTCTTGTCTCTCTCTCTCTCTCTCTCTCTCCGATCTCTCTCTCTCTCATCTCTCTCTCTCTCTCTCTCTCTCTCCTTCCCATCACCAATCATCATCTCGGCTCTCTCACGCAGATCATCAATCATCGCGATCACAATACAAATTACAAAACCAAATTTTCATTCACCTCTTCATAATCTACAAAGTTACATCATAACTGCATATGCATTCTACATAATTCATGGCCAGAGCGCGATGTACATTTGTATTCAACACTAAATTGATATTTGTGCGTATATTACCTTTAAACACTTGTTTGCATATGAGTGCATTAAAATCGAAAGAGTGGAATTGAGGAGGTGGTGGGGGAGGGGGGAGGTACGGAGAAGGGGGTAGAGGGGGAAGGGAAGAGGGGAAGGGGGAAGAGAGACAAATAGACAGACAGGCAGTTAAATGGAGACACAGAGATAGAGAAACAGAGGAGGAAAAAAATAGATAATGATAATAGTAATATAAACAAAGAAGCAATCTGATCATTTACAAAACCTATTATAAACACCAAGAAATGGAAAGATAGCGGGAAGGAAGATATGAAATGAAGATAAAGATAACACTGAAGAACGGAGAACGCTCTCTCCTCTCTCTCTCTCTCTCTCCTCTCCTCTCGCTCCTTCTTCGTCTCTCTCTCTCTCTCTCTCTCTCTCTCTCGCTCTCTCTCTCTCTCTCAGCTCACTTCTCTTCACTCCCTATTTCTCCTCTCTCTCTCTCTCTCTCTTTCTCTCTGCAATGTCACTCCTTCACGTCCCTATTGCCTTTCTCTTTCCCCCCCTCTCTCCGCTCCTCCTTCTGTCCTTCTCTCTCTCTCTCTCTCTCTCTCTCTCTCTCCCTCACTCATCAGTGTCAGCTCTGTCACCCATATTCCCCTCTCTCTCTCTCTCCTCATCCTCACGTGTCACTGTTGGTTCCTATCACTCCCTATTTCCTCCTTTCTCTCCCCCTCTTCCTCTCTCCTCTCTCTCCCCTCTCTCTCCGTCTCTTCTCATCTCGATCTCTCTCATCTCTCATCTCTCTCTCTCCTCTCTCTCCTCTCTCCTCTCTCCTCTCTCTCTCACTTCCTCGCTGTCCAAAGGCTCGCCATATCACTCCAATAATGTTGCTATTATATGTTTGCTCAATCAACAATAATGCCTGTCTTGCTCCTCCCATTAACCCTTTTCCCACCCGCATCTTTCCTCTCTCTTCTCTTCTTCTTCCTCGTCCTCTTCNCAGGACGGACAGATACAGAGACGAGATGAACAGAGGAGGGGTGGACGGATACCGCGAGGAGGAGGAGAGAGGGCCGGAGGACGAAGAGGGAGAGGAGAGGACGAGAGACGAAGAAACAGAAGAAAAGAACCAGATGCGGAGCACAGAGAGAAGATGTGGGGAGACACGACGAGGAAGAGAGAGATTGGAGACAGATGATACACGCAAGGACGAGAGATGAGAGGAGAGAACGAGATGAGAACGAGAGAGAGAGACGAGAGAAAGAGAGAGAGGAGAGAAGAAGAGAGAGACCGAGACGCAGAGGGGACATAGCTAGAGAGAGAGAGAGAGAGGACATCCTAGAGCACAGGCAGAGGAAGAGACAGAGAGAGAGAGAGGGAGACATAGAGAGAGAGAGAGGGAGACATAGAGAGAGAGAGAGAGAGACGAGAGAGAAGAGAGAGACGAGAGAGAGCACTAGAGAGAGAAGCGAGCGAGGGAGAGGAGAGAGAGACGAGAGAGGGAGACAGAGAAGAGAGAGAGACATAGAGAGAGAGATAGAGAGAGAGAGAGAGAGAGGAGACAGAGAGAGAGAGGAGGGAGAGGAGAGGAGGGGAGACATAGAGAGAAGAGAGAGGGAGGGAGACATAGAGAGAGAGAGAGGAGGAGGACATAGGAGAGAGAGAGGAGGGAGACATTAGAGAGAGAGAGAGGAGGAGACATAGAGAGAGGAGAGACTAAGAGAGAGAAGAGAGGAAGAGAGAGCGATGGAGACAGAGAGAGAGAGAGAGGGAATGAGAGATAGAGAGAGAGAGGAGGAGACATAGAGAGAGAGAGAGAGAGAGAGAGAGGAGAGAAGGGAGACATAAGAGAGAGAGAGAGAGGGAGATAGCAGAGAGAGAGAGGGGAGACATACGAGAGGAGAGAGAGAGAGGAGACATTCGAGAGAGAGAGAGACGGAGGGGACATAGAGAGAAGAGGAGACATAGAGAGAGACGAGAGAGAGATGGAGACAGAGAGGAGAGAGGGAGACAGAGAGAGAGAGAAGAGGGAGACAGAGAGAGAGAGAGCAGAGAGACGAGGACATAGCACGAGAGAGAGAGAGAGGTGTGGGAGGGAGGAATAGATCACCAACCTGAGCATCAAAGATCTTTCCTGTCTTGCAAGGGCTACTTGGATCACATAGGACAAATCCTGGGGCAACGTCAGCTTCTTCTACTCCTCTCAGCTTTACTTTGACATTTTCACCACACCTTACTGCTGATACTTCGTCTTCATCTCTCCACAGTAAATCTATATTTACCATAGTCTATATGAAAGAGAAGAGAAAATGGATATATATTTGGTGACTTCATTCACACTGACCTTTAATCAAGTTTCATAACTAGTCACTGCATGTGTGGGTGTGCAGTGTCTGCCTGGGTGCGTGCAGTGTCTGCCTGTGTGTGCATGGTGCATCGTGTGTGCTGTGTGTGTGTGCTGTGCTGTGCATCTGCGTGCGCTTGTGTGTGTGTGTGTGTGTGTGTGGCATCTGCGTGCGCTTGTTCGTGAGTGTGTGCATCTGCGTGCGGTGTTGTGTGCTTGTGTGTGTTGTGTGGTGTGCATCTGCGTGCTTGTGTGTGTGTGTGTGTGTGTGCATCTGCGTGCGCTTGTGTGTGTGTGCGATCTGCGTCTGTGCTTGTGTGTGTGTGTGTGTGTGTGTGTGTGCATCTGCGCGTGCGCTTGTTGTGGTGTGATGTGTGTGTGCATCTGTGTGCGCTTGTGTGTGTGTGTGTGTGTGCATCTGCGTGCGCTGTGTGTGTGTGTTGTGTTGTGTGCATCTGTGTGCGCTGTGTGTGCTTGTGTGTGTGCTGTGTGCATCGTTGTGTGTGTGCATGTGTGTGCTCTTGTGTGTGTGCATGTGTGCGCTGTGTGCGCTGTGTGAGTGTGTGTGTGTGTGTGTGTGTGTGTGTGTGTGTGTGTGTGTGTGTGTGTGTGCGTGCGCTTGTGTGTGTGTGTGTGTGCATCTGCGTGCGCTTGTGTGTGTGTGGTGTGCGCATTGCGTGCGCTTGTGTTGTGTGTGTGCATCTGCGTGCGCTTTGTGTGTTGTGTGTGTGTGTGTGGTGGTGTGCGCTTGTGTGTGTGCATCTGTGTGTGTTTGTGTGTGCTTGTGTGTGTGTCTGTGTGTGCCTTGTGTGTGTGCATTCTGTGTGCGCTTGTGTGTCTTGCTGTGTGTGCATCTGTGGCGCTTGTGTGTGTGCATCTTGTGTGCGCTTGTGCGATGTGTGTGTGTGTGTGTGTGTTGTGTGTGTGTGTGTGTGTGTGTGTGGTGTGTGTGTTGTGTGTGTGTGTGTGTGTGCATCTCGCGTGCGCTTGTGTGTGTGTGTGTGTTGTGGTCTGTGTGTGTGTGTGTGTGTGTTGTGTGTGTTGCATCTGGTGCGGTGTGTGTGTGTGTTGTTGCATCTGTGGCGTGTGTTGTGTGTGTTGTGTGTGCCATCTGCGTGCGTTGTGTGTGTGTGTGTCGTGTGTGTGTGTGTGTGGTGTGTGTGTGTGTGTGTGTGTGTGACTGTGTGTGTGTGTGTGTGTGGTTGTGCTGTGCTGCGTGTGTGTGTGTGTGTGTGTGTGTGTGATGCATCTGCGTGCGCTTGTGTGTGTGTGTGTGTGTTGCATCTGCGTGCGCTTGTGTGTGTGTGTGTTGTGATCTCTGGTGCCGTTGTGTGTGTGTTGTGTGTGCATCTCGTGCGCTTGTGTGTGTGTGTTGTGTGTGCATCTGCGTGCAGTGTGTGTGTGTGTGTGTGTGTGTGTGTGTGTGTGTGTGCGCGTGTGCTCGGGTGTGTGTGTGTGTGTGGTGTGTGTGTGTGCGCGTGTTGCATCCTGTGTGTGTGTGTGTGTGTGTGCATCTTGCGTGCGCTTGTGTGTGTGTGTGTGTGCATCTGCGTGCGCTTGGTGTGTGTGTGTGTGGTGCATCTGCGTGCGCTTGGTGTGTGTGTGTGTTTGTGTGTGCATTGCTGCGCTGTGTTGTTGTGTGTGTGGTGCACTTTGCGTTCGCGCTTGTGCTGTGTGTGTGTGTGTGTGCTGTCATCTGCGTGCGCTTGTGTGTGTGTGTGTGGCTGTGTGTGTGGTGTGCTGTGTGTGTGTTGTGTGCATTGTGCTTGTGTTGTGTGTGCATTCTGTGTGCGTTGTGTGTGTGTGCATGTGTGTGCGCTTGTGTGTGTGTGCATCTGTGTGCGCTTGTGTGTTGCCGTGCTTCTGCGTGCCTCGGTCTCTCTTCTCTGTGCTTTGTGTCGCAGGTCTCTCGTCTCTGCGTGCGTGCCTGCGCATGCGCAGGTCTCTCTGTCTCTGCTGCGTGCCCTGCTTCAGCCTGTCTTTGTCTCTGCGTGCGTGCCTGCGCCTGCGCAGGTCTCTCTGTCTCTGCGTGCGTGCCTGCGCATGCGCAGGTCTCTCTGTCTCTGCGTGCGTGCCTGCGCATGCGCAGGCAGTGCGTTCGTGCTATCATCTCTATCTCTGCGTGCGTGCGTGCGCAGGTCTCTCTATCTTGTTTGCTCGTGCGTTCTCCTCTTAGCGTGCGTGCGTGCGCAGGTCTCATCTATCTCTGTTTGCGTGCGTGCGTGCGCAGTCTCTCTATCTCTGTTTGCGTGCTGGTGCGTGCGCAGGTCTCTCTATCTCTGCTTTGGCGTGCGTGCTCTATCTATGCGCTGTGCGCGTGCGTAGGTCTCTCTATCTCTGCGTTGCGTGCGTGCAGTGCGCAGGTCTCTCTATCTCCTGCGTGCCGTGCGGCTGTGCGCGTCTCTCTATCTCTGCTGCGTGCGCGTGCGGCAGGTCTCTCTATCTCTGCTGCGTGCGCGTGCGCAGGTCTCTCATAATCTCCTGCTCTGCGCAGTCGCAGGTCTCTCTATCTCTGCGTGGCGTGCGCGTGCGCATGTCTCTCAAGCGTGCGGCGTTCTCTATCGCTGCAGTCTCTCTATCTCTGCGTGCGTGCGCGTGCGCAGGTCTCTCTATTCTCTGCGTGCCGTGCGGCTGTTGGCAGGTCTCTCCTATCTCTCGCGTGCGTGCGCGTGCGCAGGTCTCTCTATCTCTGCGTGCGTGCGCGTGCGCAGGTCTCTCTATCTCTGCGTGCGTGCGCGTGCGGTTCCTCTATCTCTGCGTGGTGGTGGCTGTGCGCAGGTCTCTCTATCTCTGCGTTCGTGCGCGTGCGCAGGTCTCTCTATCTCTGCGTGCGTGCGTGCGCGTGCGCAGGTCTCTCTATCTCTGCGTGCGTCTGCGCCGTGCGCAGGTCCTCTCTATCTCTGCCTGCGTGCGGTGCGCAGGTCTCTCTATTCTCTGCCTTGCGTGCGCGGTCGCAGAGGCTCTCTCTATCTCTGCCTGCGTGCGCGTGGCGCGTTCGCTGCCGCAGGTCTCTCTATCTCTGCCTGCAAGTGCGCAGGTCTCCAGTTGTGCGCAGGCTCTCCATCTCTGCGTGCGTGCGCCGAGCGCAGGTCTCTCTCTGCGTGCGTGTGCGCAGGTCTCTCCATCTCTGCGTGTGCTTGTGCGCAGGTCTCTCCATCTCTGCGTGCTGGCGTCGGTGCGCAGGTCTCTTATCTCTGCGTGCGTGTGTCGCGCAGGTCTCTCATCTCTGCGTGCGTGCGCCAGGTCTCTCCATCTCTGCGTGCATGCGCAGTTGCCAGGGTCTCTCCATCTCTCTGCGTTGCGTTGCGCGTGCGCAGTGTCTCTCCATCTCTGCGTGCGCGTGCGCGCTGTGCGTGCGCGTCTCTCCATCTCTGCGATGTGCCGTGCGCCGTGCGCAGGTCTCTCCATTCTTGCGTCGTGCCGCACGTGCGGCAAAGGTCTCTCCTCATCTCCGCGTGCGTCATAGCGGTCTCTCCATCTCTGCGTGCGGGCGCTGTTGCGCAGGTCTTCCATCTCTGCCTGCCGTGCGCAGGTTCTCTCTTCGCGCCTGGCGCAGGTCTCTCCATCTCTTGCTGCTGCCTTGCGCGTGCGCGCGTCTCTCATCTCTGCGTGCGTGCGCAAGTTGCGCAGGTCTTCTCCATCTCTGCGTGCTCTGCGCGTCCGCAGTTTCTCCATCTTGCCTGTGCGTGCGCGCGTGCGCAGGTCTCTCATTCTCTGCGTGCGTGCGCGTGCGCTCTCTCCATCTTGCGTCGTGCGCGCTGCGCAGGTCTCTCCTCTCTGCGTGCGTGCGCAGGTCTCTCCATCTCTGCGCGGCGCTTGCGCAGGTCTCTCCATCTCTGCGTTGCTGTGCTGTGCGCGTGCGCAGTCTCTCCATCTCTGCGTGCGTGCGCAGGTGCGTGCGTGCGCGTGCGCAGGTCTCTCCATCTCTGCGTCTGCGCTGCCAGGTCTCTCCATGCGTGCGTGCGCGTGCGCAGGTCTCTCCATCTCTGCGTTGCGTGCGCGTGCCATGCGCAGGTCTCTCCATCTCTGCGTGCGTCGCGTCCGCAGGTCTCTCCATCTCTGCGTGCGTGCGCAGGTGCGCGCATCTCTTGCGTGCTGTGCGGTGCGCAGGTCTCCATCTCTGCGTGCGTGCGCGTGCGCAGGTCTCTCATCTCTGCTGGCGTGCGCGCGTGCGCAGTCTCTCCATCTGCTGCGTGCGCGTGCGCAGTCTCTCCATCTCTGCGTGCGTGCGCCGTGCGCAGGTCTCTCCATCTCTGCGTGCGTGCGCGTGCGCAGGTCTCTCCATCTCTGCGTGCGTTGCGCGTGCGCAGGTCTCTCCATCCTGCTGCGTGCGCGTGCGCAGGTCTCTCCATCTCTGCGTGCGTGCGCTGCGCAGGGGTCTCTCATCTCTGCGTGCGTGCGCGTGCGCAGGTCTCTCCATCTCTGCGTGCGTGCGCGGTTGCGCAGGTCTCTCCATCTCTGCGTGCGTGCGCGTGCGCAGGTCTCTCCATCTCTGCGTCTGCGCGTGCGCGTGCGCAGGTCTCTCCATCTCTCTGCGTGCGTTGCGGCGCAGCGGTCTCTCCATCTCTGCGTGCGTGCGCGCGTGCGCAGGTCTCTCTCCAGTGCGCAGGTCTCTCCATCTCTGCGTGCGTGCGCGTGCGCAGGTCTCTCCATCTCTGCGTGCGTGCGCGTGCGCAGGCTCTCCATCTCTGCGTGCGTGCGCCGTGCGCAGTCTCTCCATCTCTGCGGCTGTGCGCGTGCGCAGGTCTCTCCATCTCTTGCGTGCTGCGTGCTGCGTGCGCAGGTCTCTCCATCTCTGGTGCGTGCGCGTGCGAGGTCTCTCATCTCTGCGTGCGGCCTGTGCGCAGGTCTCTCCATCTCTGCGTGCGTGCGCGTGCGCAGGTCTCTCCATCTCTGCGCTGCGTGTGCGCCGTGCGCAGGTCTCTCCATCTCTGCGTGCGTGCGCGTGCGCAGTTCTCTCCATCTCTGCGTGCGTGCGCGTGCGCAGGTCTCTCCATCTCTGCGTGCGTGCGCCGTGCGCATCTCCATCTCTGCAGTCGTGCGTGCGCAGGCTCTCTCTATCTCTGCGTGCATGCGCGCAGGTCTCTCTATCTCTCTGCGTGCATGTACTGCACGTGCGCGTCTCTCTATCTCTGCGTGCGTGCACGTGCGTCTCTCTCTATCTCTGCGTGCGTGCACGTGCGTCTCTCTCTATCTCTGCGTGCATGTGCACGTCTCTCTCTATCTCTGCGTGCGTGTGCACGTCTGCGTGCTCGTCTCTCTCTATCTCTGCTGCGTGTGCACGTCTCTCTCTATCTCTGCGTGCGTGTGCACGTCTCTCTCTATCTCTGCGTGCGTGTGCACGTCTCTCTCTATCTCTGCGTGCGTGTGCACGTCTCTCTATCTCTGCGTGCGTGTGCACGTCTCTCTCTATCTCTGCGTGCGTGTGCACGTCTCTCTCTATCTCTGCGTGCGTGTGCACGTCTCTCTCTATCTCTGCGTGTGTGTGTGTCTCTCTCTATCTCTGCGTGCGTGTGCACGTCTCTCTCTATCTCTGCGTGCGTGTTGCATCTATGCACGTCTCTCTCTATCTCTGCTGCTGTCTCTCATCTCTGCGTGCGTGTGCATGTCTCTCTATCTCTGCGTGCGTGTGCATGTCTCTCTATCTCTGCGTGCGTGTGCATGTCTCTCTATCTCTGCGTGCGTGTGCATGTCTCTCTATCTCTGCGTGCGTGTGCATGCTATATGATGTGATGTCTCTCTATCTCGGCGTGCGCGTGTATGTGTGTATGGATGTCTCTCTCTCTCTGCATGTGTATTATACATATATATATTAACATCTTTTCATTTTCATTTCACATATAAAGAATCAAAGGTAGACCAGAAAAAAAATTAAACCTAAATAATATACCTCACACACATTAAAATTATCTCACCTTATTTGGCATCACAAGAAGGTTATCCCCTTTCTTGCAACCACCAGATTCCACTTTACCCATGACAATAGTTCCTCTGTCATTATAGCGATCAACTATAGGCATCATGAAAGGTCCTGTCACATTACGATTCAAGGGAGGCAGATCGTTGATGTATGGGATAAAAGCTGGGCCCTTAAACCAACTGCATACATTTTCATCAATTGGGTCTCGAAGGTTAGCACCAGTTAGCCCTGAACATGGCATGAATGTGATATCTTTGCTATAAAACCCAACCTAGAGAGAGAAAAATGTATGGTTTAATAATCATAATACTTGATATTTGTATCAAAATTCAAAATTAAGGTTTTCACAAACACACACAGAGAATAAATACCTTTTTTAAGTAGGGGACAAGTTTCTCCTTACATTCATTATAGCGTTTTTCTGACCACTGTACTGTTGAGTCATCCATTTTGTTAATGAGAATAATAAGATGTTTAATCCCTGCTGTCTTAGCCAGCATGACATGCTCTCTCGTCTGACCTCCCCGTTCAAAGCCAGTTTCAAATTCCCCTTTTCGTGCTGATATAACCTGCAAAAGTACAATCAAATATCCTTATATATCCTAAACCTATATTCCAATATTTCTGTTGTTAACTCTACCTCTCCCACCTACTTTCTCTCTGTATCAAATGTCTTTTTCTCTTTCATTCAAATTTTCTAATACAACTGTGTGGATATTTCCAAAGCCTACCAGAACAGCTAGGTCAGCTTGACAAGCTCCACCAATCATGTTTGGGACAAAGCTCTTGTGACCTGGGGCATCAAGGATTGTGAAATGTTTCTGCTCTGTCTCAAAGTACGCTCTACCAACTTCTACTGTTTTTCCCTTGTCTCGTTCTGCAAAAAAACAAAAAAGAAAACTAATGAAAGTGACACTCATATATACACAAATATTTCCTTTGAAATCTTACACTTACACTGCATTAATAATATGCTAATTAGGAATTCAACTTAACCTATTAGACCCGGATGACGTTGTGGTC